CATATAGAGGATATATATAAACATATATATGCGTACTCTCTTCTGTTCTCTGTTTCTCTATCGTTCTTATACATTATCGTGCGGTGAAACGAGTGACACACGAGGGTGGCTCGATCAGGCCTGTTCTGTTGCTTCCTTTATTTTCCGTATATATCTTTTTTATGTGTTATTTTTGTTATTTTTTTTTTGTTATTTTTTGTTATTTCTCTTTGAGTTGATCAATCGTATAGTATTATCTTTCTTTCTTTATGTTCTGTAAATTTTTTCTTTCGTAACATATTTTGAAGTGTGATCTATAATGTATTTATCTTTTCTTTGAGAAAACTATTCTAAAATTATTCTGTAGCAGATGAATAAGGCAACATAAAATATGAAAAAAAAAAGAAAGGATATAAGTAAAAATTACAAAAAATTATTGCTACAAATAAAATATTATATAGTATACATAGAATGAAAAAGTAACTGTTTCGTGACAAATTTTTCATTTAGCATATATAATCATACTGATTATATTATAAATTATAAAAAAATATGAAAAAGAGATTTTATTTCATTTTTAATTTATGTAAATATTAAACTTCAATCCTTTAATTTTATTTTTGTTATTTTATTTATTTTTCATTATAAAAGTGTTTAATAAATATCTATTTAGTTTTAATTGAATATTTTGTTTTATAAATTAAAAAGTTATAGACCTAAAACCTCAAGTATAATAAGTTAACTAATAAAATAATTAATAAAATAATTAAAGTCTTGAAAACAAAAAATCTTAGGAATAATTATTATTACTATATTTTTTTGAAAAAACAATTAGTAAATTTTATATAAAATATCATCATTAGCATGGAGGATTGATATAATTTCTTTCTGTAAATTAAATTTTTTGAATACAATAATATCGACAATAATATTGTTAGACAAAGAGATTGTGCCGATAATTTCAAAAAGAGACGCACTTGTGCATACGTGAGTATCTGGATATACCAACATCATTTTAAACTGCACATACGGAAATCATGGAACAAGCGAAGCACCATGCATAACCAATTACGACCCGCATTTGAATTCACGGCACATGAGCCGATTTGCACTTGCACAAAAGATACTTGCATCCCAAATAATTTGAATTTACGTGTCACCCTGAGTCATTAGTTTCATGTCGAAGTTCTCGTTGCCTACGAGAATCTATTATTAAAAATAATTATTAGAAGTTATAAGTAGAACAGGCATTAGTAAATTTTGTTAATAATATATAATTAAAAATATTTATATAATTGTTTTTTGTTTTTTATTATTTTATGAACAGTAGACAAATTTTTTTATATTTAATTATTTATTAGAATTTTATAAATATTGTAAAATAGAATTGAATCGAAAATAATAGATAGATAAATTAAATAATAAAAAAAATAGATATATTATAGTTATAATTACATATTTTTAATATGATAGAAATTTATACTACTAATTAATATATATTATTTATTATATATAATATAATTATATATAATAATAATATAATTATACTATAACCTG